TGGCTAGGACTTCCAATACTGTGTTGAATAGACCTTGAATAGAATGCCTCGATTCTCCATCTCTGAGCATGACAAAATCTGTGGGCTTGTGATTTGGGTCTTTGTGTTGAAGTACACTTCTCATATACCTAATTTATTGAGAGTGTTCCTTTAAACATGTGTGAGTGTTGAGTTTCATCAAATGCACTTTCTGCATACACTGAGATGATTGTATGATTTGGGCCTTTTCTTTGTTAAGGTAGCATGTCACACCTCTTGCTTTGCCATGTGTTGAACTATCCTTGCATCCCAGGAATAAACCCCAGCTAATCACAGTGTGTGATCATGTTACTGTGCTCTTCAATTCCATTTCTTCATATTTCGTTCAGGATTTTTAGAGTATGTTCATCAAATATATCACCTTCTGATTACCTTGTCTTGTAGTGTTCTGAGGGTAACGCTGTCTTCAGAAAAAGAACTTGAAAGTGCTTCAATCTTCAGTTTTAAAGACTTTTGAGTAGGGTTAGTATCACTCCTTTTTATTATTACTATTATATTTATTTTATTTTGTGTGTGCATGCAAGTGTGCACATCCATGTACATGTGTTCAGATGCCAGAGGTTGGTTTTAGGTACCTTCCTCAATTGCTTCTCCATGGTTTTTGTTTGTCTGTTTGTTTGAGACAAGATCTCACTATGTAGCCCCATATGGTCTGGAACTAGAACTCACAGAGATGGCCTGCCTCTGCCTCCTGAGTGCTGAAATTAAAGGCAAGGACTACCACACCCGCCTCCACATTCTTTTTTGAGACGTGGTCTCTCACTGAACTCTAAGCTCACTGGTTCATCTAGATTGGCTGGCCGGTGAGCTCCTGGCATCCTCCTGTCCCGCCCCCCCAACCCCCCAACACTGGGTTTGCAGAAGCATACCGCTATTCCCTAGCTTTTATGTGGGTGCTAGAGATTAGAACTCAGGTTCTTTTGCTTTCACAGCAAGTGTTCTTACCCACTAAGCCATCTGCTCAGCCTTCAGGGTTTTGGGGGGTTTTTGTTTTGTTTTTTGGAGTTTTTTTGTTTTTCCTTTCATTTCAAAGGAAAATTTGTGGGAATCACTTTTCTCCTTCTACCATAGGATCAAACTCAGGTTATCAGGCTTACATACAAGTGCCTTGACCCACTGAGCAATCTCCCCATTTCTTAAATTCATTTTTATTTTTATAGTGCTAGGGATAAAACCCAATGTTTCACACATACTAGGTAAACATACAGGTAAACACTGCCATTGGAGTATATCTGCAGCTCATAGATTGGCATTAATTATTTAAATGTTTAGTAATATTTGCCAGCAAAGGCATTAGTCCTGGGCTTTTCTTTGATGGATATTTTTATTACTGATTCAATTTCCTTACTCTTTATTAGTTTGTCCAGATTTCCTTTTTGTTGTTGTTTGGCCGGGAGTGCTGTTTGAGACCAGGCCTCATGTAGCCCAGATTGGTCTCAAACTCATTATGTAGCTGAGGATGATCTTACACTTCTGGTCCTCCTGCCCTCACCTCCAGAGTGCTTGGATTACAAGTATTTGGGGGATTTTTTTCTGCATTTGTGTGTGTGTGTGTGTGTGTGTGTGTGTGTGTGTGTGTGCACACTTGTGTGCCACAGTGCATTTTTAGAGGTCAGAAAATAACTTTCCGGAGTTGCTCCTCTCCTCTTACCATGTGGGTCCAGGGATCTAAATCAGGTCCCCAGGCTTGGTGGCAGGCCCCTTTCTCCACTGAGCTATCTCACTGGCCCCCAAAGTGAATCTCTTACAGACAACGTATCATTGAGTCTTTATGTACGTGTGGACATCAGTGCACCATGTATTTGCATGTGAATGTGGAGCCCAGAGGTAAACATCAGGTTTCTTCCCCAATTGTTATCCACCTTATTTTTTGAGATGGGGTCTCTCACTAAACCTGGAGCTCACTGATTCAGCTAGACTGACTGACTAGCAAGCCCAGGGATTCTCCTGCCCCACTCCTGTCCCCCACTCCCCTACTCCCACACCCCAGCACTACATTTGCAGATATGTACCATCATTTGGAGCTTTTTAAGTGGGTTCTTGGGATCTGAACTCAGACCCCCCTTCCCATCTATCCCTTCACTTTCAGCTGAAAGTTCTTTTTTTTTAATGGAATCAATTTTTTTTACATTTATTTATTATGTGAGGATGGGGAGGGGGCAAGTGCCATGACGTGTGCTGAGGCCAGAGGACAACTTGTGGGAGTTGCTTCTCACCTTCTGCTTTGTGGATTTTGATAATCAAGCAGGTGGTCAGGCTCGGTGGCAAGTGCCTTTACCTTCTGAGCTATGTTGCCAGTTTTTAAATGGGACCTTTTTAAAATTTTGTATTTATTCTTCAGTAATTTCATACATGAACACAATGCATTGGGACCATTTTTAATACTTTGTGTTTGATAGATCATGTTTCAGGCTTTGCCATGCCCTCCCCCTGTTTGTGCATGTATCAAGGAGGTTAAGTTACAGGGCTGTTCTGTTTTCTGTTATGATGGGAAATTTCCTACGTGTTTGCTTTGCTTTTTTTGCACTCAGTTATATTCTGCAGTTTTTTGGTTTTTTTGTTTTTGTCTTTTTAAAAATATTTTATTTATTATTTTTATTTTACGTGTATGAGTGTATTGCCTGCATGTATGTGAGTGCACCCATGTCATGCAATGCCGCGGAGGTCCAAAGAGGGCTTAGGATTCCCCTGGAACTGGAGTTAAGGACGGTTCGTAGCCACCGTGTGGGTGCTGAGAATTGAGCCCAGGTCCTCTGCAAGAGCAGTCAGGGCTCTTAACCGCTGAGCCATCTCTCCAGCTCCTTTTTTTGTCTTTTTGAGACAGGGTCTCCCTGTAGTCCCAGCTGACCTCAACTCATTATGTAGACCAGGCTGGCTTTGAACTCACGGTGATCCACCTGCCTCTGCCTCCCAAGTGCTAGGACTAAAGGCGTGCACCACCACGCCCGGCTCTGTAGTTTTTTATTACACAAAAATAGTAGCCCGTTCTGGCCTTGAACTTCTTCCTGTGCTTTCCAAGTGCTGGGATTATGGGTATGTATCATCTCAACCAGTTGTTGTTGTTGTTGTTGTTGTTGTTGTTTTATGGGTATGAGTATATTGCCTGCATGTAAGTGCACCCATGTCGTGCAGTGTCTGCAGAGGTGAGAAGAGGGCGTTGGATCCCCGGAACTAAAGTTACAGATGGTTGTTTAGTGGCCATATGGTTGCTGGGATTCGAACCCGGGTCCTCTGCAAGAGCAGTGTTCTTAACCATTGAGCCATCTAAGATTTATTTTATTTTTAATTATTATACATATGTGTATAGGCACGTGTGCCCGTGGAGGCCAGAGAGGGTATAAGTTCCTCTGGAGCTGGAGTTATAGGAGACTATAACCCGCTCAAGGTGGGTGCTAGGAACTGAACCCACATCCTCTGGAAAAACAGTATGTGCTCTTAACCATTGACTGAGCTGTCTTTCCAACCCCTTAGCCTATTCTTTTTAATATCATACATAGCTGTAATCACATTTCTCTTTTGGTAGACATATAGAATATTTTCAGGCTTTCTTTTCTATCACCGAACTATACTATGAGAAAAGTCATTGACTATGAAGCATGCCGTCTGCCACTTAGGTGACTGCTTTTGTAAGAGATGAGTTGAGGCAAATAGTATATATTGTTTTGCTTTGTTTTTTTGAGACAGGGTCTCACTATGCAACCTAGGCTAGCCTGGAACTTGCTATGTAGCCCAGGCTGGCTTTGAACTCACAATCTTCTGGCTTTGGCCTCCCAAATGCTGGGATTATAGACACAATTCAACATACCTAGCTGTATTTTTTTTTAATTATAAACACTTTCAATTTTCTGGTTAAAAAAAATTGCATCACAGCTAGGCATATTAGCACATACCTATGATCCCAGAAGTAAAGGGAGGAGACTGGGAGTTCAAGGTCATCTTTGACTGAGGCCAACCTGGACTAGATAAGACCCTGTCTCAAAACAACCATTACATGAACAGATCCATTTCTATACCCTCTTTCCAGTACTAAATACCAGGACGCTGTTTAAACTTAGAGGTTAAACAACTGAAAGATATTTTGAGGTACATCTTTTGGATTTAAAAGGGACTGCTCTTCATTGCCTGGGAGTGTGCCCCCTTCTGCTCACACTGAGAATAAGACAAGCCCCTCCCTGGAGGCTCTACAGAGGGAGCTAGCTTCCGCTCTGACTCCATGACCTCCTGTGGGAGCGTGAGCAACCATGAGGCATCCTCATCCTCTGAGATGATGGCTGAGAATTAGTTGCACTGCAGGACTCTGAAGGAAGTACAGATAGATGCTCTCTACAGAAAGTAAGGAGCACTTTAGTGCCCAGAGAGCTCCCCTTACCTGTAGCCACCCCCCTTGTCCCTTAAGGACAATAGCACTCTGATCACTAAGAGTTAACAGGCTCTGACACTTGGCTCACTAAGAGTAAACAGACTTCTTTGGACTTTGTTGATGCAGAGCTTTGAGAATCTGTTCCCAGGATGCTGGGCTGGGGAGACCACCAGTAAGGCATATGTTTCTGGGATGCTGGGAAGAGGTTGCCATGCCCCTCGCCCTGTTTGTGCATGCATCAAAGAGGTATGTTACAGGGCCTATTCTGTTTTCTGACTACTATGATGGGAAATTTCCTATGTGTTTTGCATTGCTTGAGCACTTATCATATGTAAACTCTGTGTGAACTTCAAACTCTGAGCTCCCAGTTAAGGCTCTCAGGAGGACAGTGAAAGCACTCCTGAGTGACAAAACCAGGGGATTGACTCCTGGTCTAATCTGTTTCTCGGCATTAGTCAAGCAGGGTGTCTACACTTACCTAAAAGAATTATCTTTAGTAAAATACTCATCGTTGCCCAGACTGACTACCATGAGTCTACGAGTCATATCTGGCTTCCAATATACCCTTCACATAAAACAATGGAGACTCTTCTTGCCAAGGAAATATTGATTTCACTTCCTGAATCTAAGTGGCATCCTTGCACAGGGGCTATACTTATCTCTGCATAGTCTTACTTTTAGCACATGAGCTGCTGATGGGAGCAGTATTGGATTTTGCAAATGGGGAGACCCTAGGTTCCAAATTTGTATTTTCAATTGTGTGTGTGCCTCATATCAACCAGATTGTTTTTATTGTCTGATTCAGACTTCCTATTTCATCTTCTTGTTTATTTGATGGCTAATTTCTATGAGAGTTTTGGTAGCAGTTTTGGTAGCTCCTGAGCCAAAAGAAGCAGCTGTGTGAAGCACCTGTGTTCACCCCATGAAGAGACAGCCTACACAGTCTCCGGCTTTCAGAAGGTCTCTTGTCAGGGATGCCTGTTGGGCTCTGACTAGAAACAGTGACTAAGCACTGTCAGGCAGAACATCCTATGTTGCTCTGAAGTATGAAACATTACCTGTTTGGTAAAGCAGCATTACATAACTGCTGTGCCTGAGCCTCTCCAGTCAAGTGATTCACCGGTTTCATACAGCCATTCATCAACATCATTATCCTGGTCACCATCAATTAGTGTTTGCAGAGCACCCACATGGAGATGACACTATACTTGGTGCCTGAGAGAACACCAGGAAGACAAAGAATTCAGCTGCTAAAGTAAACTGCTAGAGCTGCACATCTGAATTATGAACCATAAAACAAACATACTTGTGAGTCCAAGCCTACTGCACTGCATGTGACAGAGCCAACTCCTTGAAACTCACTGTAGAGCTGCACAATGCCTATTTGTATCTCAAGGAAGATGGAGCAGATAGTCTTCCACATGAGAAGGGTTGATAAAGGACTACAGCCTCGTTGAGGACCCCAGAATCAAACTAAAGATTTAGAAAGGCAACTGTACCAGTATGGTAGCACATGTACAATGCCATCACTTGGGAGGTGGAGCCAGGGAGATCAGGAGTTCAAAGTTCCCTTCTTTTCTTGTTTTGGTTTTTTTTGGGAGGTTGGTTTTTTTGGGGGGGTGGTCTTTTTGAGACAAGGTCTCCCTGTAGCTCCAGCTGTCCTAGAACTCACTATGTAGACCAGGCTGACCTTGAACTCACAGACATCTGCCTGCCTCTGCCTCCTGAGTGCTGGGACTAAAGGCATGCACCCAGCTTCATGTGTATTTTTTCAATGTTTATTACATTTTGCTTGGGGGGTGGGTCAGAGGACAATTCTCAGGAGTCAGTTCTCTCCTTCCACCACATGGGGTCCTGGGATGAAACTCAGGTTACTAAGTTTGGCATACATAGTGAATTTGAGACAGGTCTAGACTATGTAAGACGTTGTTTCAAACAAAACGAGATTTAGAAAGGCCTTTATTGACTACTGAGCCAAATTCTCCAAAATCCTTTTTTTCATTTTTTGAGACAAGTCTCCTTATAACCACAGCTGGCCTGAAACTCACTATGTAGACCAGACTGGCCTTGAACTCACAGTCATCAGCCTGATTCTGTTTCCTGAGTGCCAGAATTAAAGGCATGCACCACTATATACAGCTTATTTTATTTTTTATGTGTATGAGCATTTTGCCTGCACATACATAAGTATACCACATCTATACAATGCCCACAGAGGTCAGAAGAGGGTGTTAGATCCCCTGGAACTGGAGTTAAGGACAGTTATTAGCCACCAGGTGAGTGCTGGGAACCAAACCCAGGTCCTCTGTAAGAACACTCAGTGCTCTTAACCACTGAACCATCTCTCCAGTCCCTCCAAAATCCTTTTACAATGCCCCTACCCATGGATATTGTAAAATTAGTGACCATCAAGTCTAAAGATTTGGAGAATGTCCAAATTCCAGGGAAGACTCCCTAGGTTAGGAGATAGAAATCTTAGAAAGTTCCATAAGGCTGGGGAGATGACCTCGTGGGTAAAGTACTTGCTGCTCAAGAGTGAGGGCCTGAGTTCAAATTCTCAGAATCCACATAAAAGCCAGACATGGTAGGATGCATCTGTAATCTCAATTATTTCCAGTTAATAGCCCCTGGTTAAAAACACTTCAGGTGGGCATAGAGTTGAACCAAGACCATTTTCTTCCATTGTCATTAACCTAATTTCAAATTGTTTTATTGTCTCTTCATTTCTTACTCGTACCAGACTGAGAAAGAATAGAAAGAAAAACAAAACAACAAACCCAATTGGTTTTCAGGGGTTAGAAAAATGGCTCAGTTGGTAGAGTGCTTATCTAGCATGCACAAAGCACCGCATAAACTAGGAAAGGTGGTACATGCCTGTAATTCCAGCACTGGGAAGGTGGAGGCAGGAGATTCAGAAGTATGAGCTCATTCTTGGGCTACATAGCGAGTTTGAGGCCAGCCTAGGCTTCATTAAAATATGACAAAGGCAAAGTTAGAGTGACAGAGAGTTGACAAGTTGAGATACCAGGTATGGAGTTGGGGATTTTTGAAGTTCCTTACCAAGATTGTTATAGTTACACTGTGTCCCTTTTTAATATATGCATCCAAAATTCATCAACCTATCCCCTAAAATTGGTGAATTTTATTGTAATTTCTATCTCAATAAAACCAACAATCGGGACTGGAGAGAGGACTCAGAGGTTAATAGCACTGACTGCTCTTGCAGAGGACCCAGATTCAGTTCCCAGCACCCACATGGTGGCTAACAACTGTCCTTAACTCCAGTTCCAGGAGATCCAACACCCTCTTCTGACCTCTATGGGCATTGCACAACACGGGTGCACTTATATACATGCAGGCAATACACGCATACACATAAAATTAAAATACTTTTTAAAAAAGACGATAACAGATTATAAAGCATAATAAGGCAAATTCATATGTTTAACCCTGAAAGGGTCCAAAAAGGACATTGGGTTCCTTTCCTTTCTCTTATATTTTATAAATGAGGAAAATAACAGCCAGTGAGAGATTATCATTATTCAGTAATCACACACCCCAGACATGTCTCCTTTCTCTTCTCTTCCTTCCTCTTCCTCCCTCTCTTCTTTCCTTCTTCTGCCCCTCCCTTCATGACTCCCCCTTCCCTCTTCCTTCTTTCTTCTCTCTTTGCCTCCCTCTCTCTTTTCCTCCCTCCCCCTCTCTCTCTTCCACTCCTTCCTTCTTTCCAAAGAATTTACACCTAGACCACCCCACAAGGCTCCACACAGACTCTGTTCATATCTGCAGATCCTTTTCTGCACCATCCCATTAACCTTTTCCTCAGATGATTGTGTCAGCATCACAGGAAACAAGCAATCCTTTCCATCTCCCAGTTCTGTCGTGCCCAGCACGTGTAACCTGTAAGCTGTGTTATCATGCATATAATCCACAAGCACCATAAACTACCTTTCAGATATACAGTACTTTCATTTGAATGCATCCTCATTGTATTCAGGAGGCAGAAGCAGTAGATGATGCATAGTAACAGATTTAATGCAAAGAATTGGTTGGTGCAGTTGTGGGAGCTGACTAGGTGATGGTGAAATCTGTCTGGCAGAGCATCAGGAAAAACATTACGGAACTCTTAGCAAAGCCAAGTCCACAGGTGGATTTCCTTCCTCCCCAAGGAAGCTCAGTCTAATAATGAATGCTCTGTGAGTATTGACAATGGAAGACAACCATGGTGTGACATCAAATGTAAAAGACACAGAGAAAAACCTCATGGTGTAACACCGGATATAAAATAGGAGAAGACATTCATGGTGTAATACCAGATGTAAAATGGACAGAGGAAGACATCCATGGTGTGACATTGTTGGGAGCCTGAGGCTCAGCCATTTCTCAAAACTGCTGACAGACCTAAGCTGGTAACTCCATTCTGCCCACTCTCCTCCCGCAGGCACGGGACAGAGCCCGCGGCCTTGTACTCTTTTCCAGTAAACTGCCCTGTTTTCCTTTAATCAGTAGATTCCTCCCTTAGAGTACATCTGGGCCCCTGCGGTCTGGCTGATATGATTACTCTCAATCTTTACTCCTTTGTTCTCATTCTTTATTTAACCTCATGCTTGTGCTGCAATAAACTAGACTTGATCAGAGCTGTCTTGTCTCCATTTCTCTTGTCTCTTGCCCCATCCAAATCCCCACTCCCCACTCCAGGTACCCCGCGTTGCTGACCCCGTGGGCCGGAGCATGACATCACATGTAAAATAGAGGGAGACATCCATGATGTGACATCACATGTAAAATAGAGGGAGACATCCATGGTATGACATCACATGTAAAATAGAGGGAGACATCCATGGTGTGACATCACATGTAAAATAGACAGAGAAAGACATCCATGGTGTAACATCACATGTAAAATAGAGGGAGACATCCATGGTGTGACATCACATGTAAAATAGACAGAGAAAGACATCCATGGTGTAACATCACATGTAAAATAGAGGGAGACATCCATGGTGTGACATCACATGTAAAATAGAGGGAGACATCCATGGTGTGACATCACATGTAAAATAGAAAAAGACATCCATGGTATGACATCACATGTAAAATAGGCAGAGGAAGACATCCATGGGATGACATCACATACATCCATGGTGTGACATCACATGTAAAATAGAGGGAGAAATCCATGGTGTGATATCACATGTAAAATAGAAAAAGACATCCATGGTATGACATCACATGTAAAATAGGCAGAGGAAGACATCCATGGTATGACATCACATGTAAAATAGACAGAGGAAGACATCCATGGTGTAATATGTATACAGGCCTCCAGCAGCTACACCATCCCCACCCTCACCTGTTCCCTCTGATGCAACATCCACCCTATTCTTGCCATCACCACTAGAACTCTGTGCAGGAGTCTTGAAAACTAGGACCAAATGTCAGGTCACTATCAAGTGAGCTGAGGCACAGCCAAGCGACAGACTATGAGCCCTGTGGTTTGGGCAGAAACCCCTGAGTCATGAAGCCATCCACAGTGACAGGCACCAGGCAGCATTTGTCAGGCTGTCTTTGGAGATGACAGCATGCTGGATTTTTTCCAGCTGAACTCTCAAAGAACGCAGATTCCCTCATACAGGGAGATGTTTATGTGGTACCACATCTATATTTTGGCTATAAGTTGTCCCCAAAGCTTGTTGTACTGGA